TGGAGAGGGAGGAAACCGCTGGGTAGAAGCTGCTCCAGTTCATTCAGAGGACTCTTCCTTCTGTGCTTAGGGAGGCTCTGCATTTGATGAATGGCACAATCAATCATTCAGACGCCATTCACTCATCAGGAGCTCTTATTCACACAGAGCTGACTATGCTGCCTCTCCAAAGCACCTGAGGGCTTAATGGAGTGGGCTGGGCAGACAACTCCACAGGGAAGCTGCCAGAAACTCCAGTCTACAGACAAGCCCAAGCCCCACCTGTTATACCAAACCATATGCAGGAACTCCACGGACTACCATGAGCCAGGGCAGACCAGTTTGTATCTTCTTGCCCTTCTTTTCCCTTTGCCCTGACTTCCTCCTCTGTCTCTCATCCTGATATGGCTGATATGGCCCAGATCCTCGTAGGAATGAGGTGGGGTATGAATTGATATGTACGTGCAGCATCATTTCAGAGGAGAATGTGATACATGAGAACCAGAAGAGGTCCGAGGAGCTCTTGGGGGCTTTTGAGTAGGAACCTGCAGGATGATCGGAGGCAGCTTGACAGAGAGACTGGGAAGTGGGTACAAGGCTAAGTGGCCCACCTTGTCTTACATCTGGACACCTCACTGCTTCCTAAGGGGCCAGGGGATCAGTCAATCCTGGCTGAGCTCCTCCTCTGTACCCCATGCTCAGACACTCCAGGCAGGAGAGATAAGAGGTTGCAGCATTCAGTTCAGAGCTCACCACAGCACCAAGTGTCAGCTTTTCCATTTAGTGGCCTGATTACACGCACCATTATGGTTAAGGTTCTCATGTCACACTGGATGAGAGGGCCTGGCTGACTTCATCACACCCATTTTGCTGAAATGGAAACGCTCATTCTTTCATCCTTTCTACCAATGTTTGTGGAGTATCTAGGTCATAGGCACTGTTTTAGGCTTTGGGGATACAGTGGTGAGTAAAATGGCACCTGCCCTTGTGGTTTTCAGGGATGACAGAAATGGTAGGTACCACACAAATAATTGCAAACTAGTTCTATGAGAAATCCTCTGAAAACAGCTACTCTGTGGTCCAAGAGCCTATCATGAAGAGATGTCACTTTCTTGGAGCCATCAAAGGGGCTTTCCTGGCGTAGTGAGAGGGCATGATCCTTGAGGTTGAGCAGACATTGGATTAGGTAAAGGAGAGGAAAGGGGAGGGGCAGGCAGAACATGTGCAAAGGCCCTGTGGCAAGACCCTGTGAAGTCTCAGGACTGGCATTTGTAGGAGCATAGACAGGGAGTGGCTGGAAAGGAAGGACTCCTAGGGGCCAGGGGTTTGAACAAGGTCAGTCTGGTAAGACAGGAGCTTGGCAGAACCAGAGCTCATCTTCTGAGATCTAGTTCAGTTCTCGACAGAAGAAATGAGCCGCTACAACAGCAAGTAATAGAAGACAGGGATCTGGACTCCCTCTGAAGTATGCTGTCCTCCCAGAGAAGGTAGACTGAATGGAGCTGACTTTCAGTGGAGAGAGAGGAAGTGAGGTAATGGTGTGGTCTGGATGGACAGTGGGGACGTATTGGGCAAAAGTAACCCTGGAGCTCAAAGGGACTGAAGGGCAGATGCCCTTGGGAGGCAGGATGTCGCCGAGACTGTATTTCTCTGGTTCTTCCTGTTAACGTCTGGTGCCTCTTCTCCTTTCCAAAGTTAGAAGATGTGGGAGAAATCATTGAAAAAATTCGGATTGGCCATGATAATACAGGCATAAATCCTGGGTGGCACTGCTCCCACGTGGATATCCGCAGGCTCCTCCCAGATAAAGATGTGAGTTTGGGACTGTTCTGTTATGCTATTTCTTTTGCCCCTTTCTAGAACAAATTCAAATCTGATTCTTGGTATGAACCTGCTGGCTACTTCAGCCTTACTGAGACAAAATCTCACAATAAAAAACTCTGTTCACTCAGAGTGTAGGAACTAGCTCTGGTCCAGGGCACAATTTTCTAAAACCTGGTTTAGTGATCAATGAGGAGGATGTGGGCAACCATATCTCTGCTCCCCACCCCCAAGTTGTCCATATGACTAGCAAGTAACCAGCAGGCCCTTCCTGCTACTCAAGATCGATTCAGCAGAAGAAAAATTCATCTTCCCGCAATTAGGAAAACACTCTGAAACCATAAAATTCCAAGTCTGAAAATAGCTCTCTCACTCATGGCTATGGATATGAATGCCTTGGGAAAATTTTTAAAATACAGAGCCCTCTTCCCTTACCCACTGAATCTGAGTCTCTAGGATGAGGTTCTAAGATCTATTTTTAGGTGTCCCTGGGAACTCTGGCCTTTGAAAGCTAACCTCTAATATGATTGGATGAGTCTTTAAATAAGACTAGATCTGCTGAAATTGGGGCTGGAGATCCCTATGGCTTTTACATTATTTGTGGGGTCCCATGACCCTTGTCCTTAGTTTCCAGAAGTACTGACATGCTGATGGGTCGCTGAAGTTGGCAGTTTTCACAATGAGGGCTCATTTTCCTCATTCCTCCTCACCCCAGGGTGCAGAGACCTTAACTTTCCCCTGTGATCGATGGCTTGCCACCTCTGAGGATGACAAGAAGACCATTAGGGAACTGGTTCCTTATGACATCTTCACTGAGAAATACATGAAAGATGGCTCCTTAAGGCAAGTCTACAAGGAAGTGGAGGAGCCTCTGGACAGTAAGTGTGGTGTGGTCACGCCATAGCCATAGGTAGCACCAGGGCCACGGTGAAGAGCACCTGCCCTGTGCCAGACGGAGCCTGTTCAACCAGGAGGAAGGTCTGTTGTTACCTTTATTCTGTAGAGAGGCCTACTGAGGCTTACCAAGGTCACCCGATCTGCCCAGGTTCATACAGCTCATAAATGGCCAAGCTAGTCTTCAAAGTCTCAGCTGTTCCACTCCAAAGTTTGTGCACAAATCCTTTTCTGGTCTATGGGGACCCTTGTTCCTGGATTACCCTGGTTCTTATTTTCTCTTTCTTCTTTGTTCGTTCAGCCACCAATCTGTCTATGGGTTGATCCTCTCTGCTCTTGCTGGATTTAGCAGTCTCAACTTAGTATAATTAAGAAACATTCTGGATTCTGAAGCTATTCTGTATTTGTCCTCAGTGGCTGGGTGCAGCTTTAGAATGTCCAAGGTCATGGTTTTGTTTTCTGTATGGGCCAGTTACCTTTGTCCATTTTTTTTTTTTTTTTTGAGACAGAGTCTCACTATGTTGCCCTCGGTAGAGTGCTATGGCGTCACAGCTCACAGCAACCTCCAACTCCTGGGCGTAGATGATTCTCTTGCCTCAGCCTCCCAAGTAGCTGGGACTACAGGCACCCACCACAATGCCTGGCTATTTTTTTGTTATTGTTGTCATTGCTGTTTAGCAGGCCTGGGCTAATTTCAAACCCCCTAGCCCCGTGTATGTGGCTGGCGCCCTAACCACTGAGCTATGGGCACCGAGCCCCTCTGACTGTTCTTCACTGATGTGGTCCTCTGTGCAGGATTTGCATCAGTCTGACGACCGACCTCTTGTGCTCCCTCCTTCTTTGCTTTTGGGCTGTCTGCCTCCCTCTCTGAGTGGTCCACTGCATGCCAGTTTCCTTTCTCCAGCCACATGATGTTCCTCAGGGCCCAGTCCTCAGCCTTCTCTTCCTCTCTCTTTCTACGCTGTGTGTGCGTCCACAGCTTCTTCTGAGACCACACGGACAGGTCACACCTCTGTTTCCATCTGCAATGGCATTGTCCATGTCAATCCCCCTGTTTACCAGCCCTTCAGCTATGAATACTCTTTAGCTATTTCAAATATAAAATTTTCTTGTGAAAAACAGACTTTCCACACTGACAATATACAAAAGAATATCATGGGTCTTTCCTTCTGGGCAGTTTACATGATCAGAGAAGCTCTGAGAGCTTGAAAATCCAGCTTACATTTTTTGTGTTGCCTTCTTAGAACAACTGGCGTAAAACTCAAAATCTCAGGCCCTATATGGAGGCAGAGGGATGGGTCTTTCTGCCCAGCAAGCTGATGAGACACTCAAAAACTAAAAGACAAACACTGGTTTCTTTTTTTATCACCAGAAGTCAAACAGCCATATTGCTAACCTTCCTTTAACCTGAGCTGCCTCCCATTTCGAAATAAAAGCAAGCGTTGCCTCAATCATGTACCTTTCCCTACTGCTATCCCCTTTCTTCAAATTCCCTTTGCTATTAAATCCGGGGGATAATTTCCTTCTCTGCTCGGACCCCAGAGGATGCCCCAGAAAGCTGTCCCAGTGGAGGCCTTGGGCTGTTCTGTGTGATTAGCATGCCACAAAACCCACTCTGAGCTGGGTGGTGTTTCTAGGGAAACATCTCTCCACTGATGAGCTGTGTGGCCTGGGTGGGACGGGGAGGGAGGAGGATCCAGAAATAGCTGGCTCTGACTGCACAGCCGCATTGCTCAGCGCCCAGAGGCTGAATCAGTTTTCCTAATTCCCAAAGGACTAGAGAAAGCAGGGGGGAGGAAGGGGGTGTAGGAAGGTCACCAGCTATGATCCCGCCACAGCATTCCAGTCTGGGTGACAGAGCAAGACTCCATTTCTGAAAAATAAAATAAAATAAAATAAAAGCAAGACTTGCTTCCTCCCACCATGGTGGAGATTGGAAAAGATATTTTATTCTTCTTGATGTGTCCATTATAGTAAAAAAAAAAAAAATCAAAGCACTGTTAATTTTTATTTCCCTTAATAATTTTTAATAATTGTCACCCCAGAATTTATTGATCCCTGCCTACGGGCATGGGAGACCAATAGGAGAGTGACGGTCATAGGAGCTGTGGTTGGAGGAGTTGGCCTGCAGTGCTGGGGTCAGTGGGGGAGGGAGCTGCAGTGAGCTGCAGAGTAAATGAAAACAAGGAAATGGGCACTGAAGGGAACTAGTCTATCAAAAAGGGTTTACTTTTTCCAACAGCTGGTTACAAGGACCTGGTGTTAATATCAGTCACCCCCAAAGGGAGGGCCTGTTATGGTCAGCCTGTCATAGCAGATAGATTTAGCGACCAGGGGAGGACACATTTCCAGTACTTTCCAATTCTTTCTCCCTGGACACTGTAGGGTGCTTGGGCAGGTGGTTTGAAAAGTATCCATCCTGTGGGTCTCTTTGAGCCCACCTGGGTCCAGATCAGATGAGCAAACTTCCCACTGGAGAATCCATATGGGCTTGAGGCCAAAACTGTCTAACTGAAGAACAAAAGGCAGGCCTGGGCCAGAAGCTTGATGTCTCCCAGAAATCACATTCTCCAAGTCCTAAAGTGCTGCCACCCTTTTTTTCCCCCTATCTGTCTGTTTTTCTGTGCAACTGCTGCCCAGTTGTGCTGTACTCCGTGCAGATCTTCACGGGAAATGTCCCTGGGGCGGGGACAGATGCCAAGGTCTACATCACCATCTATGGAGACCTGGGGGACACCGGAGAGCGGTACCTAGGCAAGTCCGAGAACCGCACCAACAAGTTCGAGAGAGGAACGGTATGAGGAATGCGCAGCATTTACCCCTCTCGTCTTCCCCAGGTTCAGGGATCTAAGCACCAGGTCTTCTTGGTCCCTGGGGATGTCCAGGACCTTCATGCGGTGTCAGGCACCCTCACTTAGGCTTTTGCCCTTGCCCTCTCCGTTCTCCTGCAAGTGTGGCTTATCCCCTGCTCCCAGCTAATGCACCCTTCCCAGGTCCTGTGTCGGGTGGAGCAGGACGGAGCAGGGGAAGGCATGGCAAGCAGGAGGCCTGCTTGAGCTCCAGCCTGTGGGCTGCAAGGCACTAGGCTATCTTCACAAACCCCACTTCATCATGGGACTCCCAAACGTGAGAGTGAACACCTCAGAGTGGCAGGGCTGTGCCCACAGAGGCTCCAGCCTGGTTCTGCATCAACTCCTCACCTGATTCCACCCCACGGCCCCAGCTTCCTCATCTGTAAAATGAGGGGTCAGATATCGACTGGCTGACTTGTGTTCTGCCGAGTCCCAGGTTGCAT